GAGGACTCTTGGGTTGTGGTGGATCAGATGGGTCCTGCAACAGAGGATGAGCTCAATGAGCACAAGCTCCCACAGGTACAACACAAGTTTTGGTTTAAATTTTCCTCTTTGCTCACATCATCCATTACACAGGCACAGCACACAACAGCAGCATGAAGAGAGGGAGCCATTGAGTGCACAAAGACCAAGATCAACAGGAAGTGGTATGAGCAAATGCAGCAGAACAACATCACTGAATGCACAATGGAAGACATACTCCATATGCAACATCAACCACCCTTCAATCACAACACCCTCACCAATAGCGTCCACATGCTTAGCAAGGCCGGCCAGGTGTGGCACTCTACCTTTCCCCCCTTTTTTGTGCTCATCATAATAATGTGTGTGTTTGTGTGTGTGTGTGTGTGTGTGGTGGTGCATATGTGGGTGAGTGGCAGGCGATGTACCCACCAATCCCATGGCACAGGGCACATGTTGGTAAGGGGACACTCAACTTTGTCTCCCCAACTGATGTAATATGTGATTGCTACAAGTGCAAAGTTAGCATTTGCAAGGAGCACTTCACTTACCAATGAGGAAGCAGGCCAACCACCTGTGCAACTTGAAATGGTTTGGCCAGTGTGAAAGGTACCCTGCTCATAAATTGAAATGTTCATTGTATTATGACTTACTTGGGCAGGTAGCTATATGGTGTACAGGGCGGCAGTGCAGGGGTGGAGGCTGGAAGAGTGCTGGCTCATCCTCCTGATGTTCTACATCAATGTGTTTCAGCAGAACAGATCATGAAGCTGAAGCATCATCAGCATCTACATGTCATTCACCAATGTGTTGAGGGAGGAATTGGAGGCAGTGGAGTTGAGATACCTCCTCTGCCTCATGCCTCTCAACATCAACCTCTTTGATGCCTTGAGGCTAGTCATCATTGTGCTGATGCGCCTGCTTGAGTGTGGGTACAATGTGTACTTCAAGGCTGAGCAGGTGATATGCCACTGCTATGGCTTGGTGTACTGCATCCTCAGTGATCATCCCTCACAGGTGCTGTGTGCAGGCATGTTTCCCTTTGTTTCATGCACTGGTGTTTCATATAGTTGATTTTCTTTTACATATGTCCTACAGGGTTGGCACAGGGCGGTTGGGCCTGCTGCTGTTACTGCCACAACCTGTTGGCCTT